TCACCAGAACCATTGCAGACAGTGGAGTGGCTGGCGGGAACGACCAGTGGGTGGCCGGTAGGAGCGGCGGCAGGCGGCCTGTAGGAGCGGGTGATGGGGATGATCAGCAGGCAGCCGGTAGGAGCAGCACAAAGGTGGCATAGCCTCAGGCCCAAGGAGTAGAGTCATCAGGATGATGTGTCAGGGTTGTTAACAGAATTGCATAACTAATTGAATGCTTGTGTGATTTTGCATAATATCTAATGGTCGTGTATATAAATTATAATATTATGAGCCACTGTATGTAACCTAAGATATAGCTATATGAGAATACCCATACCTGTATTACGTCATTATTGCATTTTAAAAACTATGGTACATTGCTGTAAGTAACAGACTGACATGTTTGAATTTAAAATATACAAACTATAAATGAATATTCATGGGTCTAGATGTTGACCACATGAATATTCATAAGGAGGACTGTTTCTCATGAATATGGAATTAATATGTGTAACATCCAATCATTTTAAAACTATGTAAACAAGCATCTTACCCTTGACCAATCAATTTAAAGTGGTACCCTCATGAATATGCATGAGCGTGACCTTTATATGCCTATGCCACACCAGTTGAGCTTTTGCATCGGGGCGTCGGGCATAGACTTAGGTTAGACTCAGTGCATGCGTGAGAGGGTGTATGAGGTCTAAAGTCTTGGTCCCTGATATATTGGTATGAGTGAGGTCTAGAGTCTTATAGGGAGAAGATGAACGGAAGGTTTATTCTTCTCCTCCTTAGGTTTAGTTTAGTCTTTAGTTAGATTAGATCCTCCTCGTCGTGCTTGTACGCTAGGCAGTGTCGGTCCACGCATGTCGGCTGTCGTCGTGCTTGTACGTCGGGCGCGTCGGGGTTTAGTTAAGGTTTTATTTTAGGTTAAGATTAGGTTTAGGTTACAATAGAGTCTAGCTTCCATCGCCATTGAGCTGCCTCCGAAGTGCAGGAAGAGGGACAAGGACTTCGCGGAAGGTGAATCAGGAACTCCTTGCACTCAACCAGCGCTTCGAGGGATCGCCTGGCAGCTCCTGGCCAAAGGATCGAGGTCGCCAGCAACCCATCTATCGTCTATGTGCTGCTAGACTGTGGTATGATTATTGTTTTATTAAGAGGGGACTTCCCCCTTGTTATGTTTGAGGTATGTTTATAATATAGTCTTGTGGTTTAAACGTATCCAAACTGTCACGTTTTTATTAACGCGCCACCGTCTTTGAGTAAGAGCAAATACCGGTGAATAGATACGGATTTTCGGAGTCGCACCTTAACATCATAACATTTTAATTAGGTTAATTAGTAGTAGTTAATATACGTTGTCACCCCTTACGGGTAACAGGGTCTTCACTGACTGGACAGAGCTGTAAGTGGGGCGTTTGACATGGGGTACGGAGAAAGTTTAGGTTAGTGAACGGAACCCTTACCTTGTTGGACTGGTGAGCCGCAGAGGCAAAAGACATCGCTCAGTCCTTTTGAGCTGGGACAGTTACTCGTGGGGGAGGGAGCTATGAACACTGTTTGTTATATTTTCCCAAGATAATGCCATGTGACTTCTCTCTCTCTTTCATTAAAAGTTTATTTTCGACACTCAGACTCTGTGCTTGCGAGTGGGGAAACATTGCCTTTTGGAGGTGCCCAGGGGTATGTGAGAGATAGACCCCTAGATATTGAACCCGGCCCTGGCTGCTGCTGGGCCTACCCGGTGGAAGGGTTACATAAGAATTAGATTATTTGTTTCTTCATAACATTTTATAAAGTTATTTAATTAAATTCATTCTTTTGGAACTTGAATGTAGGGAGGCTGACACTGTGTAATCCTTGCTGAAATTACTTACAGACTAAACTCTGGGTCTCCAGTACTGCAGTGGAAGTGGTGGTTTCTTTAGACACTGGAGAAGGGTAGTGAAATCTAGCCCACTCAAGGGGTATGTCTAAACTACATGGCTCCGTCGACAGAGCCATGTAGATTAGTTTACATGAAAAAGGGAAATGAAGCGGCAATTTAAATAATTGCCGCTTCATTTAAAACAAAATGGCCACCGCGCTGTGCCGATCAGCTGACTGTCGGCTCAGCACAGTAGTCTAGAAGGGGATCTGTCGACAAAGGGTTCTGGGGTCGGCAGATCCCCGTCTAGACTACCGCGCTGACCCGACAATCAGTTGATCGGCACAGCGTGGCGGCCATTTTGATTTAAATGAAGCTGCGATTATTTAAATTGCGCTTCATTTCCCTTTTTCATGTAAGCTAATCTACATAGCTTCATCGACGGAGCCAAGTAGTTTAGACATACCCAAGGTTACAGCAGCATGCATGCTAGAAGTTGAAATAGTTAAAATTAATATCAAAGGGCCTCAAGAGATTTTAGGCATAGCTCGCTCATACTGACATAACATTTCTCCCCTTTCGGCATAGCACTCACATACGCAGAATGTTTTCTTCAACTGTTCAAGATTACAGATTTAATGCAGGGTTGTCCCTTTACACTAAAGGAACTTCTGCAGTTGTGAGCATTTTCTCCTTCCATGGAGAATGTTGTTCATTTGAAGCAGCTGTTCTTCATTTGCTCTTTATAAAATGCATTAAAGGAGAGGAACATTTAAGGAGATTTTTGTCTTATTCAAACCAAAGAACAGAAGAATTAAGTGGTAATGAGTCTGAAAGACTATAAATAGAGTTTGAGGGAATTAAAGGCTACTTATCTGTAACCCAATCTACTTTCTTTTTAAAAGCCTTGCATTGGGCGTATGATTTTTTTACACCTTTCCCTCCCCCCCCCCACACCTCATAAAAAAATTGCATGGTGAAGTTAAAAAAAAAATTGTGAAAAAAAGTCAAAGATACCTAAACTTTGTTTTGGTGTTAAAATAACAATGTTTGTTTGAAATGAGCGGTGTAAATATTTCAGAAAATAAGAGAATACTAGACAGAAGATGCACTCTCTCACTGAGTAAACATTCAGAACTCATCTGTAATTTTCTCCCAGTGAGAAAACTCTCTCACCCAACTGTTTTCAGCCACAGACTCTCAGTTCCTCAGATCCAAAGCTCGATGAAGTCAATAGAATGACTCTCTTTGACTTTCATGAGCTTTCAAATAGCCCTTTTACTTTTGGCCCTGTCATAATCATTGGTATACAAACACATTTCTTGGCTCTTACAACTTTGAAGGAATGGATTGATTTCTTTTTGCTAATTATTAAATCCACTTTACCAATATTGTAGAAATAAACTGTACTGGCTCAACGGATTAGCGAGGGGAGATAATGTCTCTCACTATGTCACTGTTTTGAAACTGGCCTAGGACAGTAAATAAAGTTTAATTGACTCTTTGGTGAACTATGTGAAAAACTGGTTCTTATTGAGCGTCTTTATAATGAAGCCTCGCAGCACCACTAGTGGTAGTGTAATTGTGAAAGGGCAAAGAATGAATGGCTCTATAGATTAAACTCTCTGCAGAGGAGGAGCATATAGCACGTGGAATTTGTATTTCTGCCGTCTATGAAGTACTAGCTGTGCAAATTGAGAATGTCAATCTCAACATTTTGTGAATACCAAACTGCTTAAAACATTTTTAAGTAAGGATGTCAATGTGTAGAAGACTACACAATTAACCGATAATCCAAGGCTTATCGATTAATCCTGTTGACTATATGCATTCCCCCTTCCCTTGCTGCCTCTGTATAAGAGAGGCAGCAAGAGGAATGGGGGGTGGAGGCAGGAGCTGGAAGCCAGAGCCTGTGAAGAGCTGGCTTTTAAGCTGGATCCCCACGTGTACCAGATCCCATGGACCTGCCTGCACCCTCCGCCTCCCTCTCCCTGCCCCCCCAGTGCTGTTGCCTCTTTTAAGCCAGATCTCTGTGCGTGCCGGCTCCGTGGACCCACCTGCCCCCCCTTGCTGCTTCCTATACAGGCAGGGAGAGATAGGTAGGAGTCGCTTCACTCCACCCATCATGCTGCTGCTTCTATCAGAGACATCAGCACAGTAGAGAGGCAAGTGAGCAGGCCCATTAGGAAGCAGCCCCTGTCCACGGGGATCTTGGACTCCACGAGGGGGACTGCTGCAGCGGAGCAGCCTCCATCTGTGGCAGGCCTAGGCTCACTGTGGACAGAGGCTGCTCTATGGGATTTGGAGCAGCCTCTGCCCGTAGGGAGCTCGGACCCCCAGGGACAGGGGCAGCTGTTGCAGAGCAGTCTCTGTCCGTGGAAGCTGGGGCACTCTGCACTGCTGCTGCCCTGCATTGCTGCCTCTGTATCAGGTCTGCATGGGGAGCTGTTTTTTAAACTGGCTCCCCTCATGGACCAACTTCTGCCTGCCACCCCAGGCTACTGCATCTGCTAGAAAGGCAGCAGTGCAGGGTAGCAGAGGGCTCCCTGGGAGTGGGGCCGGGAGCACATTGGCTGCTAGCCTCGCACCTGAGAACTATCGAATAGTCATGTAACCATTAAAACTAGATGTGGTTACATGACTATTTAATTACTATCTAACATCCCTATTTACAAGAAGGTCACAATCGTGTTTATTATTTTAACACCTAGGCACAAATGTTCTGTCACTGACTCCTGACAACAGAGAAACACTTTCTCACATTGAAAAATCTGATTCTTGGCCAGGGAGGGAGAAAAATATTTTACAAATGATTCCTTTGAAGTAACTGATA